TTTTTTGTTTCTGTCCAAGTAATAAAAAATATACGGAATGATTTCTTGGCGAAATAAATTATTTGCCTTGGTTCAGGTAGCAGAGACAAATCTCTTTCTGCAAAAACTAAAATCTTAAATTCGGAAGAAAAATTTTGGCATCAAAAAGTATATTTTCCAAGTTTAGAAATTTTCAGTTTTTTTTTCTTTAGTATCCAAGTTGAAAAAAATATACAGAATAATTTCTTTTCGTAACAAATTGTTTGTCTCTGTTTAGGTAGCAAAGACAATTCTCTTTCTAAAAAAATTAAAATTTTAAAATCAAAAGAAAAATTTTGGCAGCAAAAAGAAAATTTTTTTAAATTTGGGAATTTTCCGTTTTTTTTGTTAGGGTCCAAGTTGTGAAAAATATACGGCATATATTGGTGGCGAAATATATAATTAGCCTTAGTTTGGCTAGCAGAGACAAATCTCTTTATCAAAAAATCAAAATTTTAAAATCAAGAGAAGAATTTTGGGAGCAAAAAGATGTTTCAAATTTGGATATTTTCCGTTTTTTTCGTTAGTGTCTAAATTGTAAAAAATATACGGAACAATTTCTAGGCGAAATAAATTATTTGCCCTGGTTTGGGTACCCGAAGCAAATCTCTTTCTAAAAAAACAAAAATTTTAAAATCGAAAGAAAAATATTGGCCGCAAAAAGTAGATTTTTCAAATTTGGATATTTTCAGTTTTTTTGTTTCTGGGCAAAGTAGTAAAAAATATGGTATAATTTCTTGGCGAAGCAAATTATTTGCCTTGGTTTGGCTAGCAGAGATAAATCTCTTTCTGAAAAAATCAAAATTTTAAAATCAAAAGAAAAATTTTGGCAACAAAAAGTAAATTTTTCAAATTTGGGAATTTTCAGATTTTTTCGTTAGGGTCCAAGTTGTGAAAAATATACGGAATAATTTCTTAGCGAAATAAATTATTTGCCCTGGTTTGGGTACCAGAGACAAATTTCTTTCTACAAAAATTAAAATTTTAAAATCGATAGAAAAATTTTGGCAGCAAAAAGTCGATTTTTCAAATTTGGAAATTTTCAGTTTCTTCTCTTTCTGTCCAAATAGTAAAAAATGTACAGAATAATTTCTTGGCGAAATAAATTATTTGCCCTGGTTTGGGTAGTAGAGACAAATCTCTTTCTACAAAAATTAAAATTTTAAAATCGATAGAAAAATTTTGGCAGCAAAAAGTCGATTTTTCAAATTTGGAAATTTTCAGTTTCTTCTCTTTCTGTCCAAATAGTAAAAAATGTACAGAATAATTTCTTGGCGAAATAAATTATTTGCCCTGGTTTGGGTAGTAGAGACAAATCTCTTTCTAATGAAATCAAAATTTTAAAATCGAGAGAAGAATTTTGGGAGCAAAAAGAAGATGTTTCAAATTTGGATATTTTCCGTTTTTTTCGTTAGTGTCTAAATTGTAAAAAATATACGGAACAATTTCTAGGCGAAATAAATTATTTGCCCTGGTTTGGGTACCCGAAGCAAATCTCTTTCTGGAAAAACTAAAATTTTAAAATCGAAAGAAACATTTTGGCAGCAAAAAGTAGATTATTCAAATTTGGAAATGTACAATTTTTTTTGTTTCTGTCCAAGTAGTAAAAAATATACAGAATAATTTCTTGGCGAAATAAATTATTTGCCCTGGTTTGGGTTGCAGAGACAAATTTCTTTCCACAAAAACTAAAATTTTAAAATCGAAAGAAAAATTTTGGCATCAAAAAGTATATTTTCCAAGTTTAGAAATTTTCAGTTTTTTTTTCTTTAGTATCCAAGTTGAAAAAAATATACGGAATAATTTCTTTTCGAAACCAATTGTTTGTCTCTGTTTAGGTAGCAAAGACAATTCTCTTTCTAAAAAAATCAAAATTTTAAAATCAAAAGAAAAATTTTGGCAGCAAAAAGTAAATTTTTCAAATTTGGGAATTTTCCGTTTTTTTCGTTAGGGTCCAAGTTGTGAAAAATATACGGAATAATTTCCTTGCGAAATAAATTATTTGCCTTGGTTTGGATAGCAGGGATAAATCTCTTTCTAAAAAAACAAAAATTTTAAAATCGAAAGAAAAATATTGGCCGCAAAAAGTAGATTTTTCAAATTTGGATATTTTCAGTTTTTTTCGTTAGTGTCCAAATTGTAAAAAATATACGGAATAATTTCTTGGCGAAATAAATTATTTGCTCTGGTTTGGGTATCAGTAACAATTCTCTTTAAAAAAACAAAAATTTTAAAATCGAAAGAAAAATATTGCCCGCAAAAAGTAGATTTTTCAAATTTAGATATTTTTAGTTTTTTTCGTTGGTGTCCAAGTTGTGAAAAATAAACTGAATAATTTCTGGGCCAAATAAATTATTTGCCTTGGTTTGGGTAGCAGCAACAAATTTCTTTCTACAAAAACTAAATTTTTAAAACCGAAAGAAAAATTTTGGCAGCAAAAAGTAGATTTTTCAAACTTAGAAATTTTCATTTATTTTTGTTTCTGTCCAAGTAGTAAACAATATACGGAATAATTTCTTGGCGAAATAAATTATTTGCCCTAGTTTGGGTAGCAGAGACGAATTTCTTTTTGCAAAAATTAAAATTTTAAATTCGAAAGAAAAATTTTGGCAGCGAAATGTAGATTTTTGAAATTTAGAAATCTTCAGTTTTTTTGTTAGTGTCTAAGTTGTGAAAATATTAGGAATAATTTCTTGGCGAATCAAATTATTTGCCTTGGTTTGGGTAGCAGAGACAAACCTCTTTCTACAAAAACAAGAATTTTAAAATGAAAAGAAAAATTTTGGCAGCAAAAAGTAGATTTTTCAAATTTAGAAATTTTCAATACTTTTAGCAAGTGTCCAAGTTGTAAAAAATATACGGAATAATTTATTGGCGAAACAAATTATTTGCCTTGGTTTGGGTAGCAGAGACAAACCTCTTTCTACAAAAACAAGAATTTTAAAATGAAAAGAAAAATTTTGGCAGCAAAAAGTAGATTTTTCAAATTTAGAAATTTTCAATACTTTTAGCTAGTGTCCAAGTTGTAAAAAATATACGGAATAATTTATTGGCGAAACAAATTATTAGCCTTGGTTTGGGTCGAAAAGACAAATCTATTTCTAAAAAAAGTGGAATTTTAGAATTGAAAGCAAAATTATTACAGAAAAAAGTAGATTCTTCCAATTTGGAAATTTTCAGTTTTTTTCGTTAGTGTCCAAGTTGTAAAAAATATTAGGAATAATTTCTTGGCGAAACAAATTATTTGCTTTTGTTTGGGTAGCAAATACAAATCTCTTTTTACATAGACTAAAATTTTAAAATCGAAAGCGAAATTATAACAGCAAAAAGTAGTTTCTTCAAATTTGGAAATTTTCAGGTTTTTTGGTTAGTGTTCAAGTTGTGAAGTATATTCGGAATAATTTTTTGGCGAATCAAATTATTTGCCTTGATTTGGGTAGCAGAGATAAATCTATTTCTAAAAAAACAAAAATTTTAAAATCGAAAGAAAAATTTTGACAGCAAAAATTAGATTTTTAAGAAATGGCCATTTTTAGGTTATCTCGTCGGTGTCTAAGTTTTGAAATATATTCCGAATAACTGGTTGCCAATATGAATTATATTTCTCGTTTTTGCACGTTGAGACAAATCATTTTCCCGAAAATTGGAATTTTAGAATAAAATGAAGAAATTAAAAACAGAAACGAATTTGTTGCAGAAAGAACTTTTTTCTTCATTTTCCTCGCTGAGACAAAACTGAGAAAATAGAAATTTAAATTGGAAAGAAAGAAATTGAAAAACAAAAATTAGATTTTTCGAAAATTGACAATTACTGGCTTTTTCGTCTAATTTTTTTAAATAAAATGTAATAAAATTCATTGCATAAATTCAATTATTTTTACAAGTAATTACATTTTTCACACGAATTCAATTATTTAAAAAAAATTGATAAAATTCGTTGTAAGAATTCCATTATTTTCATAAAAATTTTCAATTATTTATAAGATACAATTTAAAGTAAATTCCTAGAAAAATGGAATTATTCTCTCAATTTTCTTCTAAGAATTTAATTACATTTCACGAATATAATTAAATTCTTCGTTGAAATTCAAATATTTTCACAATCTACTTTTTTAATAAAAGATCTCAAAAGAATTCAATTATTTAAAAAAATGTCACAGGATTTCAATTATTTTTAATACAATTTAAAGTAAATTCTTCGAAAAATGTCAGTATTTTCAAAAATTTTGCTAAAATTCTTCGAAAGAATTAAATTATGTATTTTATCAATTATGTATTTTCAAAAATTCATGCAATAATGCTTTTAATATTCAATTATGATCTAAAATTTTAACTAATATTCATTTTTCAAATTAATTTTTATTGGAAAATTCTACAAGAATTCAATTATTTCAATACAAAAATTAATAATTCATTGAATGAATGAATGTTTTTTGAAACTAAATTATCATAAAGAATTTTATCAATAAATTTGAATTTTATCGAGAAATTTTAATAAAATTTTCAAGAAATTAAATTTTTCGAGGAATTCAATTAAAATTGTATTAAAAAAAATTGAAATTCTATGATGAATTTTATTATTCATGAAAATAATTGAATTTTTGTAAAAAATGTTATTATTTATGAAAATAATTGAATTATTGCGAAGTTTGCTTAGAATTTTATCAAAATTTTTTTTTTAATAATAGAATTATTTTGAAAAATTTTATTAAAACTGTAGATATTGAAAATCATTGAATTGAGTATATTTTTTTGCAAATAATTGAAATTTTGGAAAAAATTTTATTAAATTTTTGGAAAATAATTGAAATTTGGAGAAGAATTTTATTATTTTTAAAGATAATTGAATTTTTATGAGAATTTTTTTTTTAATTATTGAACATAATTGGATTTTTGCTAAGAATTTTTTTACTTTTGAAAATAATTGAATTTCTGCAATCATTTGTAACTTCTCCAAAATTCAAAATGTTATTACTTTCTTTCGCCGAGAAAAATATTTTATTTATTAAAACGAAATTTAAAAAGTAATTAAATTTATTTACCTTGCTCTAGCTGCTTTTGTCTTTGACAATCTTATTCCACTGGTCTTGTATTTGCCACTCTTCCTTTTGTATGATGCATTCAACACTTCACTTTTTTTCTCCAGTTCTTTGATTTTTTCCGCCACTCCTTCATTTGATTTCTCCATTGTCATTCGAAGATTTTCACCTTATTAAAAACACTAAACTACTGATTGTATCTCCTGTCCTGTCGTTACTATAAAAATTTTACTATTTACGAAAATAGTAAAATAAAAACTGTTTAAAATAAATCAAACACAAGCCGACTTTATATCGCTGAATATAAAACGGTAACACTTCCAAAAATATTAGATGCACGACCGTAAGATAAATACGTATACTATTTTTGCTGTCTGAATTCGTTTCAACGCATGAACAATCAAAACAAATCCGAGCCGTCTTTCTGTGTTTACACTTCGTGTATTGTTTCTTTTCTTTCCTGTCTCACTCTCCCTCTCTCTCTCTCTCTCTCTCTCTCTCTCTCTCTCTCTCTCTCTTTCTTTCTTTTAACTCGTTCTAACGCGACAAGCGGCACGCGCCGCCACTAATTCTAATACACCTGTGTCACCTGTGTCTATGTGATACTTTTCGGTTAAAAACTATATTATTCAAATTTCGCACGGCGGCGCTACTGTGAAATCTACTGCCTCTAGATAGGTAAGAGATTACCATCTCTCTTGCATTGCGTGTTCTTTTGTGAATAGGAAGCGTGCCTCTTCTCATTGTCAGGGAATTCGATTCACATTCTTCAATAAACTAGGTAAGTAAATTAGCATATTTTGTTTTATTGTAATAAAAATAAAGTTAATTACATTAGATTAGATATTATATTAGATATATTAAATATTTATTTTATTAGATATATATTATTAACTGATTAAATACAATGGCATAGGAAACCGCGGGGGGGCAAGGGGCGCAATTTCCCTTAGTTATATACATAAACATAGTTAAATATATCTATATATTTAGCGTTGCCCTCCGGAAAAGAATTCGTTCCTACGCGGCTAATTAAATTCAGTGAAATTACACAATTATTTATCGAAATTTGTTTATTATAGAATCGTGTAGTTTAAAAATTTTAACTGTAAAATTCAATTTTTTAAAACAAAAACTTTTTTAATTTTAAAAATACATAAAATTCTTATTTAATTTCAGAATTAATTATGGGAAGAACTTCAACTGGAAGGAATTCGTTGTCCAAAGGAGTAAGTAAATGAAACTGTTTTTTTTGTAAACTTTTTCTGTTACTTATTTATATTTTTTAAACTTTTTTCGTACTTCGTAACTTTTTTAAAATTTTTAATAAATATTTTTATAACAATGCTATTTTGTTTTAAAATTGCATGATTTTTGCTTTATACAAGGTTAATTTCAGAAAAATTGAATTTAACTTGGAACTTAGAAAAATTTCCTTCAAAAGTGGTAAAATTTAATATTATATATTGTTATTTAGAAAATAGCTTTTGCTACTTCCAAAGACAATTTTTTTATAAAAATTATGAAAAATTTCTCTAAAAATAAGAATAAATAATATGCAAAAAAATCCCTTCAAAAGTCAATTATTTTCATAAGTAATAAAATTTTTACAGGAATTCAGTTAATTTAGAATAGAATTTAAAAAAAATCAAGTATACAATTATAATTATAATAATAATAATAATAATTAATAATAATAATAATAATAATAATAATAATAATAATAATAATAATAATAATAATAATAAATTATTATTCTATTAATAATATAATAATAATAATAATAATAATAATAATAATAATTAATAATAATTATAATTATATAATAATTATAATTATACAATTCTAAGCAAGAATTCAATTATTTTCATAACTAACAAAATTCTTCTCAGGATTTCGATTATTTAAAAAAAATTTAATAAAATTCATAGCAACTATTCAATTATTTTCATAAATAATAAAATTTATCGCAAGATTTTAATTATTTTTAATACAATTTTACAAAAACTGCTCAAAAAATGTAGTTATATTTAAAAATTTAATTTCAATTCATCGAAAAAATTAATTATTTAAAGAAATGCTTTTTCAAAATTCTCTGAAAAAATTCAATTAATTATTTACAAAAATATTAGAATTTTTTACATGAATTCAATTATTTTCAAATATTTTAATGAAATTGTTCTAAATACATCATTTATTTTAAATACAATTTTAATTACATTTTTTTGAAATAATTCAAATATTCTTTTAGATTTTAATAAAATTCTTCCCAAGAATTGAATTATATCGATAAATAACAAAATCAGGGCTCGAACCAGTGAAAGTATTTAAAAATACGGACTTTACGGAATAAAAACGAAAAATTAATGACAAAAATATAACCACTCTGAGTCAAATAAGAAATCATTTTATTTAAAAACTATAAATTAAATTTTCTACAACTATAAAACATGAAGATATCAATAACTCCGAGTCCTCAACTCAAAGTGATTGATTTTTTCATGTTTTATAATAATTAGTGATGGCCGAGTGATAAAATCATTATTAATTCAATTACTATATATACAAGATTTTTTAACTAAAATTTTTTTTCAATCGATTATCGATTATTTTTAATAGTTTTCGAAAAAAGTCTTTGACTATTTTCAAATCCATTTGTTTACAAAATTTCGATTTTAGTTAAAAATTCTTGTATATATTAGATATATTATATATTAAAATTAAATATTATAGATATTAGAAAATAAAAACTTTAAATAATATAAAAAAGTGCAATTAAATATTTTCAAAAAAATTTATTTAAAAATTCAATTATTTCTAAAAATTTATTCTTTATTGCTTTTAATATTCAATTATTATCTACAATTCTATCCGAAATTCATTTCTAAATAAATTTTCATTTGAAAATTCTACTAGAATTCAATTATTATTTAAATAGAAAAATAAATAATTTATTAAATAACTAAATGTTTCTTAAAATTCAATTCCCATAAAGAATCGATATCAACAAATTTTTAAATAATTTTATTCTATCAACGAATTATAAAATTTTTAATAATAATTACATTTTTCGAGAAATTTCATTAAAATTGTATGAAAAATAATATTGAAATTCTACAATGAGTTTTATTATTTGTGCAAATAATTAAATTCCCTAGAAGAAATTTATTACTTTTGAATAATATTTAATTTTTGCGAAGAATAATATTACTTTTGAAAATGATTGAATTTTTGCCAGATTATAATTTGTAACTTTAACAAAACTGATTTCTTTTCGTGTTTTTAACTAAACATCTTCAAAAAAATCAATTATTTTTAATAATTTTTGAAAAAGTTAATTAAGAATTTTTAATTTCATTTGTATACAATTCAGTTTTACAAAATTTCAATTCATCGTAAATTCTTTAATGAAATATATATTAGAAAATAAAAACTTTAAAAAATTTTAAAAAAACTCAATTTAGGTTTCTCAAAAAAAAATAATTCCACAGAATAATTAGTTAAAAATATGAAGAATTCAAACTTTTGAAGATTTTAATCTGAAACCTTTTCAAAATTCAATTGTTTCTAAAAATTTACTGCTTTTAACATTCCATTATAATCTAAATTTTTAATTAAAATCCATTTTTAAATTAACGTTTATGAAGCAATTTTACTAGAATAAAATTATTTAAATACAAAATAACAATATATTGAATAATTACATATTTCTTAAAGTTTAATTGTCATAAAGAATTTTTTCTACACATTTTTAAATAGCGGAATTCTTTTGACGATTATTAATAAAATTTTTAAGAATTTTTTTGATGAATTCGGTTCCATTTTCAGGCTACAAGTGGAGGGGATCAGCAACGACAGCAGTTACCACCGCAACAGCAGATGCAGCAACAACAGCAGTTGCCACCACAACAGCATGTGCAGCAACAACAGCAGTTGCCACCGCAACAGCAGATGCAGCAACAACAGCAGTTGCCACCGCAACAGCAGATGCAGTTACAACAGCAGTTGCCACCGCAACAGCATATGCAGCAACAACAGCAGTTGCCACCGCAACAGCAGATGCAGTTACAACAGCAGTTGCCACCGCAACAGCATATGCAGCAACAACAGCAGTTGCCACCGCAACAGCATATGCAGCAACAACAGCAGTTGCCACCGCAACAGCCGCAGTTGTTCTTTCATCAATACCAATTCCAACAACAACAGCAACAATTACAACTGCAGCAACAATTGCAGCAGCAAATTAACCTGCAAATCGAGCAGCAGCAGTTGTTGCAGGATAAAATTCAGAAACAACAGCAGCAACTTCAGCAACAACAACAACTTCCCGAAACAGAGGAAAAAGTTGTTGCTCCGCTGAAGAGGCCAGCGTTGGAGTCTGCACCTGCACCATCACCGGCAGAGAATGATTTCTCCAGGCAGGAGAAACCTGCCTACAAAAAGGATAATTCTAATGTAAGTAAATTATGATCAATTGAGGGGCTAGATGCTATAAGGTGTAACGCGACATGTCAAGTAAATGGCGCGCAACACCTCATAGCATCCTGGCCCTCAATTATTAGTTAAATTTACATTTAGGTTTTACATTAACATTTAATATATAATTTATTTAATAAATTATGTAACATAATGGAATTATTAGAAGAATTTTAATTAAAAATACTTAAAAAAAGAATTTTGAAGGACTTACAAATGATTGTAATAATTCAATTATTTTTAAAAATGTCAATAAAATTATAATGACAGAATTTGAATTATTTTCAAAAATTTTTGTCAATTCAATAATTTTCAATATGTACTATTTTCATAAAGTTTTCTAAAAAGAATTTAATTCTTTTTAAAAAAATTAGATAAAATTTAATTATTTTAATAAGTAATAAAACAGCAATTCTTTAAAAGAATTCAATTTCTTTTATAACTATCAAAATTCCTCCCAGAAATTCAATTATTTTCAGAAATTTTAGTATAAATTTTTGCAAAATTTGAATATTTCTATAAATATCAATATTCATAACAAGAAAAAATTTTCTACAAAATTAATAATTTTTGATAATTTTAGTCAAAATTTCAACTACAATTTAAACTACAATTTCAACTTCAAAATTTAATTACTTCAATTATTTCAATTCGTTCTTTTCCATTTTTTTACAATTTTCTCACTTTTTTCAAATTCTTTAAACAATAATTTGTCAAAACTTAAAATAAAATTTTCACACATGTAAGTAATTTACAATTTCTTGAGTATTTTTTAAATTTATAATTTATGGGTATTACAATTTGTATCCTCAAAAAAGTTTTAAATTCTTCAAAAATTTAATAATCTTGTTAAATAAATATTTAAGCACTTATACTAAAATATTTTCCCAAAAGAATAAAAGAGTGTCTAATAACCGAAAAATAGGCAAGAATTTAATTTGACCAGGAATAATTTTAATTTGTTTTTAAAAAATCGCTTTTTATTTCAAGTTTTGTAGATATTTATACTGTTTTCTCAATTTGAATTAGTTAAAAATAATTGATTTGATAGTAAAAAATATAGTATGCAAATAACTTTTAAAAAAATTATCGAATTAATAGAAATTTTGTGAAATTCAACTGAAACTAATTAAATTTGTTAAAGACTTTCTTGAAAACTTTTTAACAAATCGAATTTTCAAAGTTCTAATGTATTTATGTTTCTTAATGCGAAGATTAGTAATTAAAATTTTTTATTAATTAATTTTAAAAAAATATACCCACTTACAATTTTTTAATAAAATTGAATATTCGCAATTTTTTTTCAAAATTCTAAAAAATAAGATTTTTGAAACTTTTCAATTCTATTGTTCCAAGATAATTGAATATTTATAAACAAATAATTGCAATTTTTTAAATAATTGAAATTTCTTTACATTCTATTAAAAATAATTGAATTCTTTTAAAGAATTTGAGTTTAATATTTCGAAAATAATCAAGGGAATTTTATTCAATTTTGCTTAGCTTTCACTCCAAAACGCAGAGCCTCCTCAGAGGCTTTCGATTCGCATCGAAAGTAGACCGAGTCGAGTTGTGCAATTCGCAATTTGAACCTTCGAATTTCGAATTAGCAAGTTCGAATCGAATTTTGCACACATCTAAATTTTATTTTTAAAAATTTCTTCGCAATGTATTTAATTATTTTCATAAATAATAAAACTCATTTCGTTGAAAGAATTCAATTATTTTTTGAAACTGAAAAAAAATTCTTCTCAAGAATTCAATTATTTCCATAATTATAGCAAAATTTTTCAGATTAACTAAATTCTTTCGAATATTATTTTTAAAAAAAGTTCTTTACAAGAATTCAATTATTTCCATAAATTTCAAAAAATAAAAAAAACAATTCAATTATTTTCAAAAGTAATAAAATTCTTCGCAGAAATTCAATTAAGTTAAAAAAATTTTTAAATTCTCCTGAAAATATCAATTATCTTTATAAATAATTAAATTGTTCTCCACAGTTAATCTATTTTCAAAAATTTTAATAAAATTGTACAGAAACATTTAATTATTTTCATAAATAATAACATTCTTTTGAAGGATTCAATTACTTTTATGAATAGTAAAATTCTTTGCAGAAATTCTATTAGTATCAATAAACTACCGTCGGAAGTTATCGGCACGGCTGCACGAGCACGCCCAAAAAACGTAGCAATCTTTAAATCACGATTTTCTTGTAAATACAAATGTTAAAAAATTAACAAATATACCATTCGAAAGATTGTTAAATTCTACGATTAATGATATATAACTAAAAATTTTAATAAATTATACCAAAATTTCAGCAATCGACAAATTTGACAAAAAATATAAAAAAATAAAATTTGTTTGGAAATTTTTTCAACCCCTGCATATTTTAAAAAAATTGTTGAAAAAATTTAAAACTTACATAGGTGTGATTATTTAAGTCTCATCTTTAATTTAAGACCCAAAAAAATTTAAAAATCTTATTCGGTTCGTGAGATATCATTATAAGCGTCATGTATAAACGAGCATGTTTTTTAACAAATGCATTGAAAAAAAAATTCAACAAAAATTTTATTTAAAAAATTTTTTTTTGTCAAATGTTTTGATTGCTGCAATATACATTATTAAAATATTCAATTATGTACAGGGCTCGAAGTAGGCCCGTAAATCCTGAAAAAGTCCGTAACTTTGCTTCAAGTCCGTAAAAATCCGTTTTTTTGAAAAAAGGTCCGTAAAGTCCATAATTTCATTCAAAAAGGATGAAAAGATCGTAAATTGTACGATATCATTTTGAGAATTTTAGACTAGTTACAAATGATTGCAGAAAGCCAATTATTTTTAAAAGTAATAAAATTCTTTGCAAAAATTCAATTCTGTTCAAATTTTTTTTTTAATTATCGTCAAAATTTCAATTATTTTTAGAAATATTAAAATTCTTCAACGAAATTCAATTATTTTCAAAAAATCTAAAAAAATGGTCAACATCTCAATTATCTTTATAAATAAATAGCAAAATTCTTCGACAAAATTCAATTATTTTCAAAAATTTTATTAAAATTCATTACAAAATTTCAATTATTTTCATAATCAACCATATTTATCACACGAATTTAATTACTTTTTAAAGTAATAAAATTTAATTATTTTCAAAAATTTTAATAAAATCCATTTAATTATTTTCAAAAGTAATAAAATTCTTTTTAGGACAATTCAATTATTTTCAATAAAATTTTAATCAAATTCCTCGCAGAAATTCTTAAAAATATTATTAAAATTGGTCCAAAGAATTTAATTATTTAAAAATTTGTTGATAAAATTCTTTATGAGAATTCAATTTTAAAAAACATGCAATTATTCAATAAATTATTTACTTTTGCATTTAAATAATTGAATTCTGGTAGAATTTTCTCATAAACATTGATTTAAAAATAGATTTCAGTTAAAATCTTAGATTATAATAATTGAATTCTTTCCAAGAATTTCATTAAAATTTTAAAAATAATTGAATTTTATTGAGACATTTTTTAAAATTGTCTTAAAAATAATTGAATTTCTACCCAAAAAAGTTTTATCAAAACTTTTTAAAATGTTTAGAATTTCTGCAAAAATTCTAATATTTTTGAAAATAATTGAATTCTTGCGAAGAATTTTTATTAAGACTTTTGAAAATAATTGAATCTCTGCAAACATTTTTATTATTTTACGAAAATATTTAAGTTCTTGAGAAAAATTTCATTAAAATTTCTGAAAGTAATTGAAGATCTGCTAAGAATTTAGTTATTTTCAATTTATGCCAAGAATTTTATTAAAATTTCTAAAAATAATTGAATTCCTGTTCATTTCTTACAAGAATTAAATTATTTTTGAAAATTTGAATAAAATTCTTCGCAAGGATTCAATTATTTGCATAAATAATAAAATTCAATGCAGAATTTAAATTATTTTTAATACAATTTTAATCGAATTTCTCTAAAAATGTAATTATTCTTAAAAATTTTATTAAAAATCGTCCAAAGAATTTAATGATTTAATAAATTTGTTGATAACAATTTTTTATGTACATTGAATTTTAAGAAACGTTCAATTATTCAATAAATTATTTATTTGCTTTTTATTTGTATTTAAATAATTGAATTCTAGTAGAATTTTCAAATAAAAATTGATTGTCATTTCATAAAAATGAATTTCAGTTAAAATTTTAGATAATATAATTGAATATTAAAAGCTATACAGCGTGAATATTAAAGAATAATTGTATTTTGTAATTAATTTTTTTGAAAAAGTTTAATTGATAATGATTTTAATTATAATAAATTATTTTTATTAATAATTATTATTTAATTATTATAAATCATGAAGAAATCGATGACTTTGATTCGAAGACTCGGAGTTATCGATTTCTTTATGTTTTATAGTTGTGAAAAATTAAATTTCTAATTTTGAAGTAAAATATTCTCTTATTTGATTCGGATTGATTCCATTTTTGTCAGTTGGTCCGTAATTTTTAATTTTTGGACCGTAAAGTCCGTATTTTTAAATACTTTAATGATAGATCGTCCAACATCCTTCCGGCAGGACGAAAAAGACTCAGGTGAGTCCCTCCGAAATCACTTAAGAAAACTAACATGGATTCAGATAAATAAAAAATGATATATATCATTGGAAAGGTAACGAAACAAGCTTTCAGCGCATATAAATATCGAGCTTGTAAGTTCAAAACTAAGGGCTGAGTAGTTTGAAGAAGTTCCATGTTCCAAAAATTCACATAATTTTTAGTCACAGAATGACGAAGCCCGGTCCTGCCGGCAGGACGCTTTTCGCTTTATTTAAGAGACTACCTAGCCCAGGTTTATAAATTTAAAGACTCGATATTTACATCATTTGAAAGCTTGTTTCATTACCTTTCCAACGATATATTTACTTTTATATTTATCTGCTTCCATATTAATTTTATACAGCAATTTCTAAGGGACTCGCGCCTGAGTCTATACTCAAATATACTGAAAAATATTAAAAATAAATTTTTTTTAATTAAAAAATTAGGTTTCATTCTTTGAACATTTCTGAAGAGAAAGAGACTTGTCCGGTCAAAAAATATTGATTTTTGGGGATTTTACATTAAATTTACGAAAAAATGTTTTTTTCACTGTTTAGAAACATAGCAAGTTTGAAGGCTTTGAAAAATGGTTTAATATTATTATTTTAAAAAGTCAAAATTATGGATTTTTTCGTCTACTTTAATCCCAAGGAGTGCCAGAAAAGAAAAGTTGAATTCCCTTTTTTTAAAAGCCTTTTTTTCGGAACGTCCTTCCGGCAGGATCGGCGCTTGGACGATTTATCATTAACTGCTTCGAGCCCTATAATATATCATTAAACGTAGAATTTAATAATCTTTCGAAAAGGTATATTTGTTAATTTTCTGACAATTGTATTTACAAGAAAATCGTGATTTAAAGATTAGTATATTTTTGTGCTTTGCGCGTGCAGCCGTCAAATTTTAAATTAAAATTAAGAAAAGACAAGATGTTTTTTAAAATTTGTAAAAAAGTCTTTGTTTAAATTAATTTTATTTACTCTTTTACAGGTGTGGAATTTAGAAAAACGAATCAACATCCTGGAGACCAGCATGAGAAAATTAAAATTAGATTTTCGTCAGTTAGAAAGAGACAGAGAAGAAGACAGAGAGCGAGATAGAGCAAGGGAAAGAGCAAGAGAGCAGGAAAGAGTTGAAGAAGAAAGAGCTAGGGAAAGAGAAAGAGAAAGGGAAAAGAAAATGAGAAAATATTAACTCTCTGCTGATGCTGACGACCGCTTTCGTCAAAAATCGTCATTCTGGGGGCCTGGTGGGGACTATGGGAGTTACGTTCTTTGGCGATAGAGTGGGGATAAGTTAGCGTCAGCAGAGGGTTAAATCAAGCACCGAAAATTTCCTGAAAGTTGAAATTAACTTGACTGCAAAAATGAGTTATTTGTCCCAACGCTCATGAAACTTAAAAAAAATTCATTTAAAAATTTTAAACAAGTTAATTTCAATTTTCAGGAAATTTCTAATGCTGCCTTTATATATTAACACATTCTATAAACCTGGAAAAATTACCTTAACATCTCAGCTTTCAATTAAAAAAATACATCCTAATGTCGCTCATACTTTTTTTAAAACAATTTTTTTGGAGAAATGTAAGGTGAGCCATTACGCCCATTTTGTACCACAAAATGAAAGTTTAAGAAATATGTAATATCAACTTTCATCATAGTTTGTTTCAATTTCTGTTTAAAATTACTTTTCAGTTACAAATTCAGCGAAGAGAATAAATTATTTTTTATTTACATAAACTATTGTGTCATGCTTAATTATAGCAAAATTATAAATTAAAATTTGTTTCTTGTTCTGTTCTCAAACAATATTTTTATGTATTACTGTTTATATTTTCAAAATTTGTAATAAAATTACACGAAAAAATTCAATTATTTTCTAAAATTTTAATAAATCCTTCGAAAAAATTCAATTATTCTTAAAAATAGTAAAATTCTTTGCATAAATTCAATTAATTTTATAAATACTAAAATTCTTTGATGAATTCAATTATTTTCTAAACAATTTTAATTTGATTGCTCGAATGAATTCAAATATTTAAAAATATTTCCATAAATTTGAATTATTTCCTAAACTTTTAATAAATTCTTCGAAACAATTCAACTATTTTTATAAATACTAAAACTCTTTGTAGAAATAAAATTATTTTTAATTAAAATATAAATAAAATTAAACGAAAGTATTGAATTATTTTCAAAAATTTTCATAAAATTCAATTTCAACAAAAATTTAAAATTTTTAACAAATAATTCAATTATTCTCAGAATATTTTAAAAACTCTATATGAAGATTAAATTACTTACAATACAATTTTAAAATATATTCGTAAAAAAATAAAATAATTCATTTATTTTGCATCTACTTAATTTTTATAAAATTCCATTATCAGGGTTGCCATGCAACCTGGTAACCTGGAAATGTCAGGGAATTTTATAAATCTTAAAAAAACCTGAAAAAGTCAGGGAATTTTGATCGAAATCCATGAAAATTGTTGTATTCTAAAGTTTTTGTGTTTATTCTTAATATTTAATTCAAGCAATTACAAATGATTGCAGAAATTCAATTGTTTTCAAAAATTATATAGAAATACTTAGAACAATTTTAATTATTTTCAAAAATTTTCCTCCATTAAATGATTTTTAATATCTACTACTTTAATAAAAATTCCTAAAAGAATTCAATTAGTTAAATAAAAAATTTAATAAAATTCTACGCAAACATTTAATTATTTTCATAAATAATAAAAATTTTACATTCAATTATTTAAAAATTATTTTTATAAATAATAACATTTTTTGTAGGGATTCAATTATTTTCACAAATTATAAAAATCATCGCAGACTTTCAATTATTATTTTCAATACAATTTGTATGGAATTGAAAAAAATTTCTCCTTAAAATTTTACTACAATTTATCAAAGAAAGTCAATTATTTAAAAAATTTTTGCCTATATTTTCAATACATTTTTAATCAAATTTCTTTAAAGAATTTTATTTTATTTTTAAAAATTTTAATGAAATTCTTTGTAACAACTCAATTTCTTCCAATATAATTGTAATAAAATTCTTCGTAGAAATTTAAATAATTTTAAAAATTTGACAAAACTCAAAAAATTTTAATGTCTACTATTTCAATAAAATTTCACAAAGGAATTCAATTATTTTAAAAGAAATTTTAATAAATTTGATCTCAAGAATTCAATTATTTTCAAAAAATAATTCAAATATTGTTGTCAACATTTCAATTGTCTTAAAAAATAATAAAATTCTTCTCTGAAATTCAATTATTTTCAAGAATTTTAATAAAATTCTTGGCAACATTTCAATTATTTTCAAAAATTTTCCTGAATTCAATGATTTTCAATTTCTACTATTTTATTAAAATTTTCCAAAAGAATTTAATTATTTAAAAAACTGTTGATAAATTCCTAATCAAACATTCAATTATTCAATAAAATATTTATTGTTGTATTTAAATAATTGAATTCTCGTAAAATTTTCTAATAAAAATTTATTTCAATTATCTTTATTAATAATAAAAGTTTTCTCTAAAATGCAATTATTTTCCATCAACATTAATATTTTCCTACTGTAATGAATAATAATAATGAAATCCCATGACAATTCGATGATTTCCAGGTTTTCCGTGACTTGTAGAATAGAAAAAAAAATTTTTCATAATCTGAAATAAAATAAAGGACATTTTTCATATTTTCAATTGCCTAAAACGACGAATTTTGCGTCAATTCGAGACCTGTAATAATTGAGATGTCATGTCATTTTTCATTTCAAGTGTTGTTTTCACGATTTTCACTTGAGAGAATTTTTCTCTATAGCACAATTATTCTGGTGTAATAAATTAAAATTTTTTTAATTAAATATAAATACATTAATGATAATTAATTTTGTTTATTTAATCTATATATTTATTTCACTTGAATTTATTGTTTTTAACATCATAACCTCAAAAAAAAATTTTGTTTTATTATCAAAAAATAAAAATATTCTATTGAAGTAAAATACTTTTGCTTCAAGAGAATATTACAAGAGGTTTTTTCCTCTAAATAATTATAATTAATGAATAATGTTCATTTATAAAACTTCTGAACATTATTTTGACATTTGTTTCACTGTTTATCGTAACGACTGGTTCTGTTTACGATCAAACATTACCGACCACTTGTAAATGGCCGCGAGGGGCGCTATTCAACTCTTCCTCTACAATAATATTACCACGTAATAAAATTAATAAAAATTTTTTTTTAATAAAATATAAAATTTATACCAAAAAGAATTCAGTAAATATGCCCTCTTTCACCTGCCAAAATATTTTTCAAAAATTCGCAACCAGTTAGGAGTAATATTCAACGATATAAAAAACCGGACAATCGCGATGTGAAATCGTACTATAACCGAGGGTAAAAAATCAATAATAATTAAAAAAAACTTTTTTTTAATAAAAAATGAAATAAATGCAAGAAAGCCTTCAATAAATGTGCCCTCTTTCATTCTCTGAAAAAATTTTTCAAAAATTCCTTCTCAGTTAGGAGTAATCTTCAACGATATAAAAAAATTAATTAAAAATTAATAATAATTAAAAAAAACTTTTTTTTAATAAAGAATGAAATAAATGCAAGAAAGCCTTCAATAAATGTGCCCTCTTTCATTCTCTGAAAAAATTATTCAAAAATTCCTTCCCAGTTAGGAGTAATCTTCAACGATATAAATATCGATTTTTTTCTTTTCAATGAATAACATGACCTTAATCAACGTTTTATTAAATATTAATACTAACCAAAAGAAAAGAGATTAAATTATTTTTATTTATCGTCATTTCATAGTTAAATGTGTAATATTTAATTATTATCAATGAAAGTTTAGACCAAAATCGCTTTTTTATAATTTCTACAATAATAGTGATAGTAATAGTTAAACAAAGAATAATAGTATAATATAAATAATAATAATAATAATAATAATAATAATAATAATAATAATAATAATAATAAAATTATTAATTTACTAACTTCTTGATGGAATTCAACTATAATATTTTTTTTTAATTTTAATACTTTTAATATTTTCAGTTTAATTAAAACTATTTAACAATAACTTATGTTCAGAATCACGCAATGACATGTGCTTTTGCTTAGAAAGACGTTAATAATATGAAATAACACTCTATCACTTGTATCAATATTGAATATTCTATTGCTAAATAATCGTGCGTTTACTCATAATTATCTCGACATTATGCTCTATTCTATTCTATTCTATTCTAAACGAAAACTTTTTATTAAAAGGTTCAAGTGTTAGTTTATAAATAATACCAAGTAAGTCTTAAGTCTTACGACTTCTCTTACTTTTAAAAATAATTGAATTCTTGTCATGAAATTTTTTATTTATGAAAATAATTGAATTTTGCAAAAAATTTTATTAAAATGCCTCAGAATAATTGAATTTTCGGGAATAATTTTGTTATTTATCTTTAATAATTGAATTCTTTTGCAGAATTATTTATGTAAATAATTGAATTCTTGCGAACGATTTTATTAGAATTTTTTAAAATAATTGAATTTTCATGAAGAAATTTATTACTTTTAAAAATTAGATATTGAAAATCATTGAAATGTGAAAAGTTTTTAAAAATAATTAACTTTTAAAAAGAATTTTTAAAAAATTTTTGAGTATAATTATGAATGTCTGTGTGGCATTTTATACAATTTTTTTTGAAAATAATTGAATTCCTAAAAAGCATTTTATTATTTATAAAAATAATTGAATTCTTGCAAACGATTTTATTAGAATTTTTTAAATAATTAAATTTCCAAGAAGAAATTTATTACTTTTAAAAATAATTGAATTCTTATGATAAATATTGTTATTTATTAATATAATTGAATTTTGCAAAGAATTTTATTAAAATGCCTCAAAAAAATTGAATTTTCGGAAATAATTTGATTGTTTATCGACATAATTGAATGCTTTCCATAAGAATTTTTTTTGTAAATAATTGAATTCCTGTGAAAAATTCTAATATTTTTGTAAATCATTGAATTCTTGTGATGAATATTATAATTTATGAAAATAAATGAATTTTGCAAAGAATTTTATTAAAATCCCTCACCTAGAGAAATGATTTATTTGAATTAAATAAAATTTATTTCAAACAAATAAAAAAGGATATTTGTCACAGAACCAACTAAACTTTTATTTAGCTCAAATAATATTTTTTATTTGAATTAATATATTTCGTTTAAATATCCATTTTTATTTAAATGAAAAAAATTTTATATTTTCTTTAAATATATTTTATATTTAGAACAAATAAAAAACACTTTTCATTTTAATAAATCCTGTAAGCATTCTAAAATATTAAAATTCACTTATAACCTTCAAATAAATTTAACAATCACAATCACTAATGGAACTTTTAATATTCATTAAAATAAATGTTTATTTTTATAAGAATATTTGTTAAATAAAGTCAGGTTTTTTTATTGTTAGTCATTTTACTTTACTTTTTCACTTCATATGTAAAAGTCCACTGTCACATTTTTCTCACAAAATCTCAAATAAGACACTAAAATGTAAATGAAATCACATACAAATCTGTTACTTTGTACTAATTAAAATTTTCACTTAAAAAGAAAAATTCTGTACTTAAATCAATTAAATTTGTTAACTATTCATGATGAATAAACCTCTTATAATTGTACGCGTTAAACTGTTAAAAGCAAAACATCTTATTGTTTTACTATAGCAATGCAATATGCGCAGGCGTCTACTTATAAGTCAAACAAAC